CATGTGTTTACATAGAATAGTTAGATAATGAAATAATCATGACTGCTAATAAGAAACATACATAAGGATTCACTACTAGTATTGCTTTCTGCAAAAAAAGAAAACTCAGCAACCCAAAAAGCTTATCATATCCTTTGGAGTCAGGAAGTTATTCCCACTAGTCGGATAAGTCTTGCAAGTACATTGTGTACTTAGGGTTTATTACCCCTGTTGCAGGTGCAGCTTGAAGAGTAGCTATTGTGTGGAGGATCCTTCTGGTGGGTACAGACAGATCCTTATATTCTACCATTAGATGTTTATTATAATTCCGCTGTTTAAATTCCGCACTCTGAACTTGGTACTATAATAATGTATTTCTAAGAACTCTGGTTGTATGAAATGGACTAAGTATTGTAAACTCGTTCTTATTATTGGATCCTGGAGGAAAAACATAGATTATTCGAGTTCTCCCTTTAGGGTGTGCTCGACGGAATCCGCCCGAGATAGCTTGCTTTCGGGGTACTCAGTGTCTGGTGAAAGACGAACGCCTCCGAAGGTGTGTTATTTCGGATGGTTCTGCCACACATACATCATAGAACATCACATGTATAATACGTGAACATCACAAAATATATCTAAAACATTGCATGTATACGACTAGGCATCACAAAATGCATCATGGAATATCACATGTATACCACGTGAACATCACAAAATATATCAACGAACATCGCATATATACTAAGTGAACATCACATATATATTATGTGAACATCACAAAATAATCATAGGATATCGCATATATACTACATGAATATCACAAGAATATCAAATATCACATATATACTACGTAAACATCACATATATTATATGAAATGTAGGAAATAACAAAGTAAAAAAATTAAAAATTTAAACTAATGAATTAAATTAAAATAAAAAAGAAGAAAATGCACATAAAAGCACGAATAACAAATGTTAAATATATAGAAGAAATGAATAATTAAAATAAGGAAGAGAAAAAAATTAAAAAGAACCACATGCATACTATGCGAGGATGACCTATACCTAATGTAACATATGAAATGAAAAACTTAAAAGAATAAAACATGAAAATGATTAAATTAAAATTGGAGTAAAACAAAAATAAAAAATAAAAAAGTGAAATAATCTAAATAAACAGGGAAGAAAGTAAATAGAAGTAAAGAAATAAAATAAAAATAAAAAACATGCAAATAAAATGGAATAAATAAAATAAATTAATCAGAATAAAATAAAAATAAAAAAGAGATATATAAAGACCTTATAACAGAAAAAAAATAAGAATAAGAAATAAAATACATCATAAAACGTCAGATTATACTATATGAATATCACAAGAAATATCAAGCATCACACTTATATCACATAAAAATTAGGAAATTAAAAAAATAAATATGGAAAATAATAATTTGAAAGCATCCGTAAATAAGGGAAAAGAGGAAGAAAATAAGAAATAATAAAGAAATGAAATAAGATTTAAAAATTGAACATGACAAGCAGTAAAAAAGAAGCAAGGAAAGAAAAGAAAATAATAATAATAAAAAATAATAAGGAAAAGAAAATAAAAGTAAAAATAGATAAACATGAAAAACATGAAACAAAGAAAAAACAGCTATAAAAAAGAAACTATAATAAGAAAGAAAACAAAGAGAAACTAACTGTGCGGACATGTATGATCAAAGAAAAACAAACCGTATATTAATGTGATATGTTTCATACAAGATAGAAGAATAAACAACCACAGAAAAAAGAAAAAAGAAAAAAAACACACACGTACGTATACTCATCCAGTCGCTCCCTACGTACGTTCCTGTCGCTCGGTGCAGCCCTCGCGCAGGTGGGTCACGCTCCCTCACGCTCATGGGCCGCGCATGGGCCGCTCTCAAGCCAGCAGCGTGTGGCCGCGGGGGGGGTTGTCGGCGGGCGGCTCGGGTCCGACTGGTCGGCAGCGATGCTTTCCGCACTGTCTCCGTCTCTGCCGTGCGTGCGACGAGACTGGGGACGACCGGACGAGCGACGCGGGGGTCCCTCGGGCGCTCCTCCACCGCCGCCGCCTCGTTCCTCGTCGTCCGCCGCCATCTCCACCGCCATTTCCATCCGTGTAGAAGGTCAGTGCACCTATCTCCTTCCCTGCAGTAGTTTCTCGATCCGCTAGGGTTTCATCCGCATGTCCATTGTTCCTGGCTGCCTGCAGCTCTCAAACTATTTTAAGACCTGTCAGCTAGGTACAATTTGTAGGTTTTTTTGATTGACTGATAGTAAGGGATTGCAGCAGTACTTAACTTTCACTTCTTCTGGCCCATGGAACTTATATAATAGAATTGGTTGATTGATACTCATCAATCAGTACTGCAGTCCGTAGTTTTTTAAGGAGATGTACAATGTATAACTAGTTCTACTATCAACCACAGATTCACAGATGAATTTTGACACCTGAAGATAAGTATGCTCTTTCGCTAATATGATGTTATCGAATAGCACAAACTCAGACTAAATAATACATACTGGCCAATCCATAAAGGGCAAACCCAGTGCCGGAGGCTCCCACATGAGTGGGGTCTGGGGAAGGGATAAACCGAGACAAGCATTTCCCCCGCAAAATCTGCGGAGAGGCTGCTTCGAACCCACGACCTGGTGTGAATTTTGACACCTGAAGATAAGTATGCTCTTTCGCTAATATGATGTTATCGAATAGCACAAACTCAGACTAAATAATACATACTGGCCAATCCATAAAGGGCAAACCCAGTGCCGGAGGCTCCCACATGAGTGGGGTCTGGGGAAGGGATAAACCGAGACAAGCATTTCCCCCGCAAAATCTGCGGAGAGGCTGCTTCGAACCCACGACCTGGTGACTCAATGAGACAGCTCTCACCATTGCACCAGGCCTGCCCTTCACATACAGGCCAATCCATCTTGTTTTAAATCTTTCTTTCACATAAAGAAAAGAAACATCTATCGTCTGTACTGTTTTGCCTTCTTAAAAATCTTTGTATATAAACCCATGTTACCCAACTGGATAACGGAGTCAAATGTTGTTCAGACCAGAGGCTCGTTGTCACACCCTTGGCCGCCGGCGGGTCGCCGTCGACGTGAGCGATCGAGAAGCACAGATGCGAGGAAGCGGGCAGGGCAAACCCCTCTGCCTTAGCTTACTGGTATTACGAGTCTTGTGTTTGATCCGGTACAGGGTTCAGCACTTATGTGCTTATTACAGACACTGGCCTCCTGGCCCCACATGACAGTTCGTAAATAGAAACGTAATACATAAATACGCTAAGCCAATATGGAATACGCCTTCTCCTTGAGCCTTCCTCCTTCAGTGTTCTTCGCTATGTGTGGCACCCCCGTCCGGTGTGACACTCGTGCCAAATTCTACTGTCAATCGCATAATCTAACCAAAGATTCATCAGCTCCTTGCCTCCTTTCCATTTACGAGTCTGAGGGATCTTATTAGGATTTCAAAAAAAAAAAAAAAAAAATCGAGGGATTGTGATCAGGATTTCAATGCCTGTCTGATCTGCAACCTGTGCTGGGGATGCAAGTGGCCAAGTGCAATTTGTTTCTGTGTTACATTTCTGGAAGAACAGAGAAAGGATAAAAACTCCTGTATTCTTACATAGATGAAAGCTGCTGACGTATTGTCAAAGTAGTGAGGATGGTTTTGGAACCGGTAATGATCATCTGCTATGCAGTAATGATTAATCCTAGTCGTATGCATATCTGGAATTGTATTATTGATTTCTTTCCCCTGAAGCCTACTAAGTCCTTAACAAGTAGCGATTGGTTTTAGTAATATCATGGAATGTGAAATCCAATATCATAACATCTACTAGTATACTAGACTAGTAATCAAGTGATCGATGATCCTGAACATGTGTACTGCTGTCTATTTGGTACCTACTGCAGAATACTTCAGATTAGTAGGAGTAACAGTTTACTAATGTGTACATGCTTTGACTTCTTTAAACTTTTAACACTTGTTTTTTTAATCGCCGTCTCCTGCAGGGTCGCCGGAATTCTACTCGCTGCAGCGTTGCTGTTGAAGACATCTCATTTGGCAGCAGCTTTGCGTCTGCTGGCTATACGCCTGGTTCAATCCCATACAACCATACAGGCATGATGTCACTGCATGTTCTTGTTTTTTATTGTCAGGTTACTGATGAATTGCTTTTATTGGGTTTTATATTCAATCTTCAAGGTTTGAACATTTATGTGTGTTTGACGCTGGTTCAGTAAGCCATATGTTATTCTTTATCTATAAAAAACCCCACAGATTACTAAAATTGGGTTCAAGTAGGTTTGAATATACTTGAATTTTTTAACATTCACAGGTGTAGTTGGTTACATGTTAGTGGACCAGCAAGAGAACTCCTAGTGCTGTTAACTGAATGATCTCGAATGACATGTGCTGTTAACTGAGTGATCCTTCTGTTCTAAAAAAAAGGGAATGATATGAATGACATGTGCTGTTAACTGAATTGTCTTTCTGTTTTTTTTTTTAAAGTGAATGATCTTGAATGACATTCTTGTTTCTTTAGGCTTGATGACTTCACCTCCACCTAGTAATCTAGTATAAGTTCTTTTTTCTTATATAGTACTATTCCTATATATGTGGTTTGCTGTTTTTTGGTTAACTTCCATGGACCCACCAAACTTGCAGCTTTAATACAATGTACTGCTCTGTTTTTTTTATTGAATGGGCCTCATGCATACATGCCTGGATGATTAGGTGCTGCTGTAGAATGCTATAAAAAATGATTAGGTGCTGCTGTAGAATGCTATAAAAAATGATAAGGTGCTTCTGACTTATTTAGACTTTTAACACTTGTTTTCTCTACTTGTTTATATATGTAATGATATAATTTTATATATGTAACACTATATGATGGCCTCTTGGGAGGAGCATGCTAGGAATTTTTTGTTGGAAGAGGAAGAAGATGATGAGCTATTCTTTATAGTTTATTCTTCTCCTTGCTGTTATGCCCTTTCTCCCAGAAGAGGAAACACCTGAGCACACATCTTCTCTTACTGGTGCTAAAAAAGATAAAGAGATCCTTGAAGGACACGAGAATTGGTGCAAGGAAGAATTTAGGATGGAGGCTGAAATATTCGGAACCTCCTCCTCCTTCTCCTCCAGTTGCTCCTCTAGAAGTGCCTCTGACTTTGGGACAAATCCATTTGCTAATTTTGATGGGCTATACGTGTCAAGTGCACATAATGAAGCTCAGTCTGCACCGCTCAATCAAGATTCTGTGCAAGGAGCAAGTGGGGGGAAAAAGCGTAAGCAAAGTCATATTGGTTCTCTTATTAAGGATTATGTGGAGTTCAAGAAGATGCAAACAAGCAAAACCTTGGAAGCTCTCAATGAAAAGAAGTGGCGAGACGAAGAAATTTCAGTTCAGAAGTGTCTTGATGAAGTGGACTCAATGGTTGGACTTACTGATGAGAAGTCGTATGCTTTGGATATCTTCAAAACTGAGATAAACAGGATTCATGAAAACCAAAAACCAAAATGTTCGCTTTATTTGGCTCAAGCGCCAGATTAGGTATGTCTCTTCCCCGTACTAATCAGCACTAGATTAGTTTGATGCAAACAAATTCGTGTTTTAGCAGTGTCAGAATTGCACAATAATGTTGGATTCACTCATTCTCTAGCTGCTAATGTTTTTCCTTGTGTTTATATGCAGAGCTCTTGGTGGAAGCAATGTATGATTTGAGAAGAAAAATGCAGCTGCAGTAAGTGCCTATGTGAGAAGCTTATGCAAAGGAGTTTTTTTTTTTCTCGAACACTGCTTATGAAAAGGAGTTAAACCACAATTTATTCTAATACCAAAGTTCTTGGTCAAAAAATTAATATCATGTTTTATTTTTCATTATCCATCTAGATGTGTGGATGGAGATGACTATCTGACCTGGTGATGAATGGATTAGCTTGGTTGGGCATTTGGTGCTACTTGAATTAAATTTTGCATGAACTGGATTGTATGTAGAATAATTTGTCATTCGTTTGGTGCATGTTTTCTCATGCTACTCACTTTCTTATGTCACTTGCATTTTATGTTTTTTTTATCAAACATATGTATCTTCTCTGGGAATGTGAGCTACTCCTAGCCTCCTAGGCCACTGCCTATAGAGTACTCCGTACAGACTGTCCACTATCTCACCAGTTTTGCCGACGCTGCGACAGCTTGTCTGCGAAATGCAAACACTCACGCCCGAGATTTCTGACTGGAGATCAGCACGTGATTATCTCCCTGGGGAAACTTCCAAATAGCATCACTGCATTAGGGAAGTTACCCCACACAGGAATATCTCCCCAGCAGGTGGAGGGGTATCGATTGTCAAAAGAAATCCACTTGCCAAAGTACCCCTTAGGGGTTGTTTGGATCTTTGGTTTTCTGCAAACTAGAATCCTATAAACTCGTTTTTGCCTGGCTGCCCCTAAAACTCTGTTTGCATAGAGCTACAAATTCCAACGCAACCAAAGCTAGGTTCCCATAAAACCCGAAAAGTGCGTTTTAGCCAAATCGACTTCTTATCGTTTTTAATAAAAACAAGTTTTCCTCATCTCCTATTTTACTCGCGAAACTTCTCCCTCCGCAAGTGTGTAATCAATTGGATGTCGCTTTTCCCCGCCGCGGGCTATCTAATTAGTCCAATTCGATGAAGGCCGCTGGTCACCGCTAGTCAGCCTCCCTCGCCGGTGTCAATATACGGTGAATCATCAGATTTAGTTCAGGGAAGTCAATCGGTTTCCATGGTAGAATGAAGGTGATGCCGCGACGCAAAGTAAATTCTGCCCTTAGCACTTAGCAGTCGTTTGTTCAGCGCTAATCAGTACAACCATTCACGCTCACCACTGGCGACGATGGAGTATGCCTATGTCGTATGAGTTTATGGATGACTCAGTTCGTGAAAGCTCGTTAACGGAAACAACCTTGCTACAACTAGCGTTTGTTCAAAACTCTTTTTTTTTCATTTCCAAAGATCTAAACAAAGAATTACATAAATGTGCGGTTAATAGAATAACAACCTTAAACTCGTTTTACTAAAAAATCGCTTAAAACTTGTTTTATTAAATGAGTTTTGAATCTCATGACAACCTATCGCACTAATATGTTGCATTAACTTGGACAGGCTTAGGGTACCTTTCTTAATTTTTTGAGCCAGACTTGTTAGCCAAACACATCCTATATGGATCTTGTTGCTGACGGGTATATTATGTACTACTGAAACAATAAATGTATTAAAACCAATTCTAAAATAAATCTAGAAAATACAAACACCCAAATTAAGTCGAAGATTTAAACTTGGATGAACAAATTTCCACCACAAGAAACCTAAGTTCGTAGGGCATCAGTGTTTTATGAGTCATGGTACAAAACAACCTTACAGTATGAAGGCTGAAGACGTTAAGTTCCAACCCCACCAAACAAAATTTAAACCATGGTGTCGGCGACATGATGATATTCTCTTTTTTTCTTAACGAAAAGAGCGAGACTAGCGCCCACCCACGCGTCTGGATGCATCTCCTGCCCGCCCCTCGCACACTGCTAGCGGCCTGCTGCTGCGTCAGGCCGCGCGTTGCTGCTGCCGCCCCTGATGGTCCGGCTCCGCCTGCTGCTCGCGCATTCAACATTGTCCCCATCCCCTACCGCGGGTGTGCATGGTCCCATACGCTCGCGCATTGAATGGAACGAACGCCCAGGCCCAGGACCAGGATCCGTACGACACGGTACGCATGCATTTGGGGGCTATCGCACACACAGGACCGCTGCACCCGAGGGGACCACCATCCCCTTCCCGCGCTTGCTCATGGAATGGAACACTTACAATATAAAACATTTGCTGTAACATACGTTCGAAATAAATAAAACATTTACGACATAAGCTTACAATATATGTGTCTGTCCACTGCACACATATACAATATCCAGATAAAACACTTATAACATACGTTTGAAACAACTAAAATATTTAAAACATACACTTGCAACATACGTGTATAGCCAGTGTAACATATGCAACATCCAATTAAAACACTTGCAACATAAATTTAAAACAGTTGAAACATTTGAAATATACACTTACAACATACGTGTATAGTCATTACAACATATGTAGCACCAGATCTACTTTTGCAACATATAGATGAAACATATGCAACATACATTTGAAACACATAAAATATACGATTACAACATGTGCTCATCTGCCTACTGTCCCTCAATGGACGCTCGTTGACGCGGAGCATGACGTCGGCACGAAGTCTGAGGTCGCCCACGGTTGACATGTGGATGGATCGCGGCCACGGCGTGAGGCGCGGGGGCGCGCAGCGCGCGGTGCGAGCTGAGGCACGAGGGCAGGCGGGTCGGACGCCCTGAGTGTATCATTATCCTAATGAAAAACGTATTTTGCTTGTTCCCGAGAAAATAAGTAGATATTAGGTTTTAAATTTTATCGCCACTGTTTTTATAGTACGGTTCACCTGCGGCAATGTTTTCGACAGGATTTTTTTTTACAACAGACAGGATTCTTTGAAGGCGTGGTGTGGCGTGCGTGTATAGGACGTGTTTGCTTCTTACCCTAGAGGCCTAGAATTCACCTGCGCTAAGCAGCATCTGTAAGAGTTTAATTTCAAGCGTGTGAAGTCAAATCTTACTGTCTGGACAAAGACCCCAGGCGAGGAATATGCGCCTACATCCTCTGCGAAAAATAAGTTTACACGGTCCAGTGTTCATCGTGTGTTAAAAAAGAGAGTCCACATTACATCCCTCAATTTTTTAAATCTATTTTTCCTCTATGAACTCTAAAATCTGGTAAACCATCTCCCTAAACTTTTAAAACCATTTATTTTACCTCTCTAACCGGCTATAAGCGGTTTTCAAAAGCGGTTTTGCCTTTTTCTTTTCTATTTATTCCGGCTGAATATTTGAAAAATCATAGTAAATCACACAAAAATCATAAAAATAGAAAATCTAATTTTGTTGCAATCCACATGAGTAGATATACATAATGAACATATAATATGGTATGCTTTAATATAATTTTTTTTGCTATAGTTTTAGATCAATGATTTTCTGTAATTAATTCATACCTGTAGTTTCTATGGTTCAATTGTGATGGAATTTTTATGGTGGGCTAATTATTGTATGCTTGAACTATAGTAAAAATTTCACACTTATTAACTTAGTTATAGATTTATTTAGGTGTATACTTGATTTATAAATACATTTTAACAAGTATACACCTAAATAAATCTATAACTAAGTTATACATGATCGAATGAGTATGAAATTTTTATTACAGTTTAAGCATACAATAATTAGTCCACCATAAAAATTTCACCACAATTGAACCATAGAAACTGCAGCTATGAATTAATTATAGAAACACATAGATCTAAAGCTACAATAAAATATTTGTACTAAAGCATACCATATTATATGTTCACTGTGTAGATCTACTCATGTGGAGTTCAATAAAATTAGATTTTTCAATTTATGATTTTTTTTTATTTACTATGATTTTTCAAAGATTCAACCGAAATAAATAAAAAAGAAAAATATAAAACCGCCTTTAAAAACCGCTTATAACCGATCAGGGAGGTAAAACGAACGGTTTTAAAGTTCAGGAGGTGGTTTAACCGGTTTTAGAGTTTAGGGAGAAAAAATAGAATTTCGTAAAAGTTGAGGATGTAATGTGGACTTTTTCCGTTCAAAAAAGGTGCAGGGTTTTTAGGTGACCGGGCCTCAAAGGCTCAAACGGCTTCTCATGTGAAAGCCCAAGAAACACGTAAGCGCCCATCTTACTTTTGTTCTGAGCTGTCACGTAAGTCCAGCACCGAAATACACCGGCCCGTAAACACGCAAGAGCCTAACGTCCAACAAATCGACCTGCGAACTTTTGGGTCTATCACAATCAGGCCCAACCGCGTGAGTAGAGCACCGCGTGGGAAGCCGGAGATGGTAGGGGACGTGCGCGGCCGTGCCGCCGGCGCCGGGCCCCTGCTCCGTCCGGTAAGAAGCCGCGCAGCCGCAGGGATGCCCGTGGTGAGCTCTGTTACTGGGCTCCGCTTGGGCCCAAGCGCACGCTCCGCCGTTCCCCTCGGTTCCGCTTCGTTACGGTTTATTCGCTCGTATCTAGTTTATAATTTACGATTTAAATAATATTTTTCTCTTATATTAAACTAGCCAGCAGTACTTTCAGCCATGACTTATAAACCAATTCAGCTGAAACGAACAGCCTGATAAATTTCACCCCGCTCCTTCGACTTGCCGATCGCCGTCCTCCCATGACGGAATCAAGGTCAGATCACGCCCCCTGAAGCCCCCACCTGATCGTCCGTTGTGCTCTTCCGATGAAATTTGCAATGGCTACTATCCAGTGTACATATATTTTTCGGAACTGGGCTTTTACCCTTTTCCATTTCATGCTGTCTCCATGTATGATGCTATATCAAACTCTGAATTCCCATATTTCCGTTAGTCGGACAAGAAGCGGCAGCAGCTCTGGATGTAGTGGGACTACAGTCTCGCAATGTCTC